TCGACCATCATGCAGCCATCATTTAATCACAGCATAGAATATTTTAGCAGTGGTTCCCAACCTTTTTGGCACCATGGATTGGTTTTGTGGAAGACAATTTTTCTACAGACCAGGGGGAGGAGGGATGGTTTGGGGATGATTCAAGTGGATAACATTTATTATGTACTTTATTTCTATTATTATTACATTATAATATACTGAAATAATTATACAATGTAATATTTATACAACAGTATAATGGAGGATCAGTGAGAGCCCTGAGCTTGTTTTCCTGCAACTAGACAGTCCTATCTGGAGGTGACAGGAGACAGTGACAGTTGAAGTGTGTTGCTATGTCTAATCTACCTTGTAGTCTCATTTTAGTTGCTGTCATTGCAGAAAACCCTGCTTCACAAAGATAGGATGTTGGAAATGGAAACAGACTTTTCAGTGCTTTCGTGGCAATCTCAAGATATTCTGTCATGACTTTAATCCAGAACATATAGAGACTTAAAGTTGTCTCAAACATACTTTTAAGGCCACTGTCATTTGTGATCTCAAGCAGTTGATTCTTTTCTGGCACGGATAAAGTTGATTCACCTGGTTTATTCACAAATGGATTGAGATTCATTCCTTCTCAGCTCAGGGTTCTTTTGTGGTTTGGAAGCAATGCTCAAACTCTTTAGAAAGCTGAGATAGGTGATCACGCATCAGCCAGGAGAAAGATGGCTTTGGTTCAGTCTCTCAAAAGCTGTGCTGGGCTGGAGATTTAGCTCAGTGGTTCTGCAGCCTGCCTCGCAAGCGCAAGGACCCAAGTTCGAGCACCAGTACCAAAAAAAAAAAAAAAAGCTGTGCTAATGTTCAAAACATGAAAAATCCCAATAGTCACTCATCACTCCCGTAACTCCAGTGTGGTTTTGAATGCAGCCACTCTATCTGATAACTTGAACATAGTTGTACTCCCCTGAAGTCAGACTAAGTTCACTGAGTAGGTTGAATATGTCACACAAGTACACAAGTTTTGAGACCCATTCTGTGTCACTGAAATGTGCTGCCAATGGTGACTATTTTTCTAAAAGAAACTTCTGCAGTGGCCTTTATAACTCAAAAACTCTGGCCAATGATCTACCCTTAGAAAGCTATCTGACTTCTGTGTATAAGAGAATGTGTGTGTGTTCTATATTAATTTCCCCCCAGAGTTGTGCAAATAGATGTGAGTTAAGGGTTTGTACTTTAATGTGATTGATAGCTTTAATCACATCCTGCAAAATGTTGTAACTCCAGATGACATTTTTCAGGTAGCCAGAATTTCTCTACGGATGACACTGTATAGACTCACACTCAGAAGTGACCTCTTTGACCTGAGTAGAGAAACCAGAACTCTGTCCAGTCATGGCAGCTGCTCTGCCTGTGCATACACCAACACAAAATGACCAACTCAGTTTTCCTGACGTGTAATCATCCAACAACTTGAACAGTTCTGTAGTTGTAGTTTGTTGGCAACAAAAGTGCACAAAATGTACCCTCACGCAGATCCTGCTGAAAAATATATCACATAAAAGCAAGCATTGTTGCTTTGGTGTCAACATTAGTAGGCTCATCAACTTGGACCACATACCACAGTGACTCATTAATCCTCTCTAACAATGTGCCTCAGTATCCCCTGCTGTCTCATCAATTCGTCTACTTCAAATGGAATTTCTAGTTTTAGTTTTTGAAAAAACTCCATACTGATTTCCATAGTGGTTGTACTAGTTTACATTCCCACCAACAATGTAGCAGAGTTCCTTTTTCCTGCAGTCTCACCAGCATTTGATTTCTTGACGATAGTCATTCTTTCTGGAGTAAGATGGAATCTTAGTGTGGTTTAATTTTCATTTCTCTGATGGCCATTTTTGAACATATTTTGTACAAGTACAGTTATCCTAGGTGATTAAACCATTTATGTTTCTATTAGCAATGTCTGAGGGTCCCAGTTCTTCTACATCTTCCCAACATTTTCTTTGGCCTTTGACTCACTGACACCTTCATGTGTGTCACCAGAACCACAAGCAGGTCATGAGCTTGAGGTTGCACAGTACAGCATGCCAAAGAAGCCCTGCCTCCATGCTTCTTTAGGAATTTCTGCAATTCCCAGCATATTACCTCATTCAATCATCCAGCTATTCATAAAAACAGCATTGGAAACCACCTGTGAGGCTCCGGCCCTGTGCCAGGCTCCAGAAGTAATGGGAAGTGAGGTGGTGGGCAAGTGAAACCTACATTCAGGTTGGGGCAGTAGACAATGAACACAACAGTTAAGTATACCATCCCTAAGTATTCATGGGGGAATGGTTCCAGGAAACCCTGTGGCATCAAAATTCATGCTCAAGTGCCTAATATAAAATGGTATAATATTTGCCTGTAACCTGTGTAATCCTCCTGTATACTTTAAATCATCTCTCGATTACTTATAATATCTAATACAAGGTACCTAGGTGTTATATTATTTGGGGAATAATGACAAGAAAAGAACGTCTGTGTGTCCAGCAAAAATACAACTACTTTTAAATATTTCCTACCCACAGTTTTTGAATCCACACAAGGAACCCTTGGGTACAGAGGGCTGACTATAATTTCTGATTGTGGAAAGGGCTGGTGCGGCCATCAGCAAGACCCGAGCTAGGGAATAAGGGGTTCAGCTGGGGACAGTGAAATTGCCTCTTGATAAGGTTGCTCTTGAATGGCCTGTGGAAGGAGGGGGGCAGAGAGGAAAACTTCTGGAGATTAGGAGCCACCAGTGAGGCAAAGGCCAAAGGAAATGTTGGGACCCTCTGAGAACAGGAAGAACATAAATCCCCACGTGGGGGTGTTGCAGGGAGGGGAGGGGCAGGAAATGCTGGGGTGCATAACTGGAGCCAAGGGGGCTGGGTGGGGTTGTGCAGGCGATGTAGCTTGGAGGGAAGGTGCCCAGACCATGCAGGGATTCAGGTCGTGGAAGGAATTTGGTTTTATTCTAAGGGTAATAGGACCAAGCCATGGGAGGGCTTCAGGGAGTGACAAACAAGATTCAAATGATCTTACCACGTAGATTACTGAGAAAAAAGCAGGTTGTTATGGTTTATATCTAGCTGTCCCCTAAAGCTTCATGGATCATAGATGGGTCCTTTGGAAGGTGATTGGATTATGGGGTTTTATAGCTGACTTGCTGTTAGGAGGTGGGAGTCTGATCAGAAAAAGCTGGTTACTGGAGTGTGACCTGAAGGGTGAATCCCCCTTCCCAGCTCCTCCCTGGACTCTCTGCTTCCTGGATACCACGAGGTGAGCAGCTTTCCTCTCTCCAGGCCCCTCCACCATGCCCTCTGTCTTGGAGCCAGCCAACTATGGGCTGAAACCTCTATTAACTGTGAGCCAAAATAAATCTCTTCTCCTTTGGATTGTGGGCGTCAGGTACTGGTCTCAGTGATGAAGACAGTAACTAAGATACAGGCACACTGTTTAGACTGTTACCCTCACCTAGGTGAGATATGTCAGGGACTTCAACACAGGGGGTGGCAGAAGAGATACATTTTGGAGGCAGACCTGACAGGAAGGACATGGTGAGCAACACTATGGGTCTGTGAGAAGAGGGCTGAGTCAGGCATGACCTCTAGGTTTGGTTTTGAGCCTCTAGAAGGTGGTGGACAATGATATTTCAGCCCTAACCTGGCCCCCTCCTACTGTGCACTCCCCTTAACCATGTCACTAGTGCGTATCTCTGGCCTACCTGTTTGTATGAGTTTTTGCACATAGAATAGGTTCAATAAAGGGATTTTTCTTTTAGATTTGTGTGTTGAGATAACATCCACATAATATCAAATCATTTTAAAGTGTACAATTCAGTGGCATTTAGTACATTTACAATGTTGTGCAACCATCACCCAAAGTATTCTTATCACTTCCAAAGGAGTTCCTGTGTTCACTAAACCATCACTTCTCACTCCCTCTTTCCCCAGCCCTGGGCAACCACTGATCTGCTTTCTGTCTCTATTATTTGCCCATTCTGGATATTTCATATAAATATAATCATGCAATCTTCAACTTTTATGTCTAAATCCTCCTCCTCCTCCTTCTTCTCTTTCTTCTACTTCTCCTTCTTTTTCTTATTCCTCTACTACTGGGGATTGAACCCAGGGAGTGCTGAGCTACATCCCAAATCTTAATTAAAAACTTTTTTTTAACTTTGAGAGAGGATCTAGTTAAATTATTCAAGGTAGCCTCAAATTTTCGATCCTCCTGCCTCTGTCTCCTAAGTGGCTGGTATTACAGGCCTGTGCCATCATACCCTACTGTGTCTAGGTTTTTTTATTGTCATACTATTTGAGCTTTGTCCACATGGTAGCATGTATCAGTACTTCATTTCTTTTAGCGGCTGATTAATATTTCATTGTAGAGATGCATCACATTTTCTTTATTTATCCTTTGAGGACATCTGGGTTGTTTCTGCCTTTAGCTGTTGTAAACAGAGCTGTTACAAATACTGGTGTATACACATTTGCTTGAATACCAGTTTTCAATTTTTTTGAGTCCATACCTAATATATGTTTAACTTTTTGAGGAATCGCCAAAAATTTTCCAACTGCTCAATAAACTTTTGCTGAAAGAAAAGGCGGGTGGGAGCGTTAGAGGCAGAGATCAGGGCGTTTTCTGTCTTTCACCAGACGTGCCGGACTCTGACATTTATTTACAGGCTGTGTGATCTGGGTCAAAGTACTGTACTTATATTTGGGGGCTGCCTCCTAATCCACAGAGTGGGCAAATAAAACTTAACTTCTGTGAGTTGGATGAGCTCCTCCAGGCAGTAAGCCCCGCAGTTAATGCCTTCGCTTACTCACTGACCCTGCCCTTCTCATTCACCTCAGCCTCGACCTGACGCCGGGCCAAGTCCACCCAGGCAGGTGCCGCGCTCCTTGGCTGCGAACTACAACTCCCATGGAGCAGTGCTCAGGCAACTCCCGCCTGGTGCGCATGCTTTGGCAGACGTGGCACGGGGAACTGGGAGGCGGGGAGCGGTGGGGAAGTGGCGGTGGCTGTTGGCTACGGTGGAGTCAGCGGGCGGATGAGCTGCGCGAGTGGAGATCCGAGCCGGCGGTGGGCACCGGCGGCGAGGATGGCACGGGCCGGGCCGGCGTGGGCGCTGCTACTGGCGATCTGGGTGAGCTGCAGAGTGGGGTCCGGCGGGGTCCAGGGCGCTGGAAGCTGCTTAGCAGGGTACTTGCATATGGCACAACTTTGCGGGGGGACCGGTCCGGGGCTTCGGTCCGGGGGCGCCACCAGCCAGGGCAGGACACCCGCAGGCTGGGGAGTGCGCCCCGCCTCAGACTCCCGACCCCTGTACCTGTGTGAGTGTGGGGTGCGATAGGGGTGCGTCCGCGTTGCGCAGCCGGGAACCCCGTTTTAGGAGCCCTCTTGTTCTTGGTTTCGACTCCAGGCGACTGGAAACTGGCTGGCTTGGCACCTGGGCCTCCGCCCACAGGCTCGGCTTGGAAGGCAGGGTGGGGTCGCCGCCCAGAGGAGTTGTGCCCCACTCACATTTGACACTGGCTGGAGCCTCGGCCACTTTCTGCCTGTGTGGCGCGGCGGATCATTTAATGTCCCTGACTTGGTTTCTTCACTCAGGGGATGGGGACAGTGAAGATAACCCCTGCCAAGGTTGTCTGTGGAGTCGGATGGGAAATCTCTGTAAAATCGTACAGGAGTGAAGAGGGGTGGTGTCAGGGGCCTGGGAGGGGTGGGAAGGCTGTGGAAGAGGATTTGGGGCACTTCGAGGTCCTCCAGGGCATCCCCGGGAGAGGTGGGATGGGTGTATTCTGCGGAGTCAGGACCGGCTTCCATCCCTGGTGTTCTTTGGGGGTGTGGTAGAATTCAAGTCTTGGCCTTCTTCCACATCTCTCCCTAACTTCTGGTCCCTCTGATGTTAAGACCATCCTGACTCCTTTTTTCCTGAAGTTCAGGGAATTTCTTGCTCTTGGCATCCTCACCAACCTAGATTTTTTTTCAGTTTTTCCCCCTCTTTGGGTGTGGCAAAGATGCGGGGCAAATGGGTGGAGAAAAAGAGTGGGGATTGAGTGGCTTTAAGCTCTTCCATCTCCTGATTCCTTGACCTTTTGGGATCACACTGAGTAGTGCCCCCTTATCTTCCAGTTGTCTGGAAGTGGGTGGGGAAAGAGGTTCCCAGTTCCCCTAGTGCTTTCTCCCTCTAGGATCTAGCCAGGTTAGATCTAGATGGGGCCTCTGCACTTCACTGTGTCTGGCTGTGCTGGAGCTGTTTGCCATCAATTCCTGGATCCAGTGGGTCTGGCAGGTCTCCAGGCCAGGTAGGGCAGAGCAGGGGACAGGGCCATCTGCCTCTGAGCCCCATCAGCTCTTCACACTTGGGCTGTTTCAAGGGGCCCTGCTTTCTTTCCTTTCCTTTTCTCTCCAACCTGTGAAAATAAAGTCTTGGGAATCTGATGCTTCATTCAACAAACATTCATTTACCAACCACACTGTTTAACAGAGTTGGATTTTGGGTGGGGAACAAAAATACACTTTGTGCCTTCCCTCTGGTGTTGCCCGGGGCTGGGTAGGTTATCAGACCTGTGAGCAAATAATGACAGAAGTACCAAGTGCTAATACCTGCTGGGACCCTCCACCAAATGGGAGCCACATGATAATTTAAAGGAGTAATTTAATTTAGAAGGAGGATCAGCTCTGGCCTTCCAAGGTGGGCTGAGCAGTCAGAGGGAATGTGGCTAACCTGGCAGTGGAATTCTGCAGATGCTCTCAGCGGTGTGGAAAAGCAGGGAGGTTTGTTGAGAGCACACTAGACCTGGAGTCCTGAGCTGGGGCAGTTTTCATCTCCTTTCCCTGAGCTTAGTAGGTGTGAGGTAGAGGGAACAAGCCTGCAGGGGCAGTGATGAGCCCATCTGATGAGGCTTCCTGGGTCCCTTCAGTCAGATTGGGTTTATTTGTTCATTATTTACTGAGGGCTGTTGTATGTGCAGCACAGGGCCATGACCCGAGGTACAGTACAGTGGTGAAGTGCAGTGGCCCCCTTTATCCTCAGCTTCACATTCTGAGGTTTTAATTACCCATAGTCAACAAGAAGGCTAAGTATAGTATAATAAGATATTTCAAATGAGAGACCATATCCATATAACTTTTGTTACAGTATAGTTATAATTGTTCCATTTTATTATTAATCCCTTATTATGCCTAAGTTATAAGTTAAACTTTTTTTTTTTTTTTTGGTACTGAGGATTGAACTCAGAACCTTGCACTTGCCAGGAGGCGCTGGCTCCGGTGAGCTAAACCTCCAGCCCCTAAGTTAAACTTTCTTATATCTGTGTATGTATAGGAAAAACCAGTATATCTAAAGTTTGGTACCATTTGTGGCTTCAAGCATCTTGAACTTGGAACTCTCCTCCTTGGACAAGGGGGTCCACTATATAAAGGTGTCTGCAGAGATTTGTGTATAGAGATATACAATCACTATGTTTTTTATAGTAGCAAAAATATGGGAATAGTTATAATGCTCAACAGTAGCAGCATGGTTAAATAACTTCTGGTGCTCTTCATACCATGGGAAGTGATGTTTGTTAGTTTGGCCTACTATAACAAATACACCATAGAATACACACAACAAATACACCATAGAATACACATAACAAATACACCATAGAATACACATGGCTTATAAGTAACAGAAATTTATTTCACACAGTTCTGGAGATTGAGATCAGTGTGCTAGCGTGGTTAGGTCCTGGGGAGGACCCTCTTCCTGGCTGTAGACTGCTGTATGGTCTAGTTGTACAGTAGACACTAGACACAGTGAGGTTGTATTCTTATGTGACAGAAAGAGGACTGGAGAGCCGTCTTGGGCCTCCTTTTTAAGAGCACTGGTCCCATTTATGAGGGCTCTCCCCATGGCCTAATGATATCCCAGCGGCCCCATCTCTGGATACTGTCACAATGGGGGGCAGCATTTCAACATAGGAAGTCTAGGTAGACACATTCAGTTCATTGCAAGTTTTTAAAAGAATATATTTACTAGGATATAATGTGTATTGTTAAAATATGTTATGCTGATGAAGAACATCTCAAGTGTGGTTATTGGAAAAGCAGGATATAAACCTCAGTCTCTAAGTTATGTATTTGAAGAATTAGTGGTGCATCAAATAGTAAGTGATTTTTCTAGAAGGTGGAGTTGTGAATGACCTTTGCTTACTTTTTTGCTTATGCTTTCTTGTACTGTCCAAATGAATATGTATTCATTTCTAACAGAAATGTTAGATATTTTCTAAGAGGTCTCTTTGAGAGCCTTCCCTAAGCCTTCTGAAAGAATACCAGGGTAGAAAATGGCACTGTCGATACCTGGACCAAATTAGGCCCTATGTTTCCCAAGCTGATGCCCCTGTCCATCAGGCTGCAGTGGGGAAAGGAGGCCTGGAGTCCTGCTGGAGTCCTGCCGCAGCCCTGCACCTGACTGCCTGCTTCTGGGCTGTAGTCCTGTTCCTCCTCCTCCCGGCAGCAGGGCTTTCCCTAAGGCCAGCGCATGCTGATTGCCATACAGTACTGTCCAGCTTGGAGAAATGTCAGCCAGAGAGCACATCTCCAGTTCAGTGGTTCTCAAATGTCAGGCCAAGGACCGAGCCAGGCTGTTTTTACTAGTCTGCAGACAAATTGGCAAAATATCAATGGTGAATGGTTTTTTTTTCCCATGAATCCAAATATTTTCAGTTAAAACACTTGTCCATTTTCCTGGCTTCATGTACATATTTTGGTGGGATGTTTACAGTGTTTTTCTCCAAAAATGAAACTGTCGACAATAGTATATTGTAATTTCCTTAAAAAAATCTTTCTTGATAAAATTATTTAAAAATACATAGTACATATTATTTATATATTTTAAAAAATACAGTCTGTTGGGATTCAACAGTCTGAGAGCTGATCTGCTTAGCCTTCTTATTTCATTCTTCAGTGCTGGGGACGGAACCTAGGGTACTGTACATGCTAGGCAAGGGCTCTACCGTTGGGCTCCACACTCATCCCCTCAACTCTCTCATTTTATGAGGCTCCCAAAGGCAGGAGTCTCAGCCACCCACTTAATAAGGGCAGAGCTGGGAGTGAAGCCAGACCTGAATTATAAATTGGATTTTTCACACACGTCTGTCTTTTGCTTTCCCCACCTCTGACTTCTTCCCTGCCTCTGTCCCTGATGGTAGCTCAAAGCCCAGACCCAGGGGAGGGCAAGTGGAGGTCCAGAAAGCAGATATTTGCCCCTGATCTCTCCTGCAGAGCTTTTAAGGTATGCTGGCTTTGGTTCTGCACCTCTCTGGGACCGTTATGTATTTAATAGGCTTTTGTGGGCTGGCCTGGGGACCTAATGCCATTTATAATACTGTTTGGAACTCAGAGTGCACTTTTCCCACAGAAATAAACACGTTACAGAGGAAGTCTTAAAACAGACCAGTCGCATAGGTGGAGTTATGGCTGAGTGCCACTTGAATGGCAAGGGCTGACTGCTGGGATTCAGGATGGGGTCAGCCAGTGGGGCAGCAAGTGACCAGAGAGGGCCCCAGGAGTGAGGTGGTAACTGGCCTTACTTTGAACTCTGTGACCGCAGGGATCCTGTCGGGCTGCTGTGTCCCCAGCACCTAGCCCAGGGCCTGGCATTCAGGCATCCCAGTGTGTGCTCAGCACACAGAGTGAATGTTCAGGAGGGGAAAGGAAGTCTACAGGATGGAGATGTGAGAAATGAGGAGCTCAGGCTGGGCAGAAGAGAATTTGAGTCTGGGGAAGGGAAGAAACTGGGAAAGAGGATTGCAAGGAACCTTAAATGCCCAGTGTAGCCCTGGGGACTGAATTCTGTAGACAATGGAGAGATATGATGCAAGCAGCCCTTTTCATAACATCAGTCAGGCCCCATGCTGGGCTGGGTTGGGGGGGCCCTGGGGGCTGGGGCTGGGTTACTTTTCCCAGAACAACACTTTCATCCTCCTGCTTTCCTCCCTGTAATCTACAAGGTGGAGTCAAGTGTGATGTGGTGGAAAGAGCTCAGGCCTTTAGCCAGCAAAATGCTCAGGAGCCGAGTGGCCTTGAGCCCTGCCTCACTTTTCTTGGTTGTAAATGGTGGTAATGATATCCATCTTGCAGAGTTAAAAGGATGAGAAA